TGCCGAATGCCGCCTGCCGCTTCCGCTGTCTTTAAATTGGCCAAATTAATAAGTGAGCCTGACAGGGCCAAGGCCGCGAACCCAGGACAAAACATTCGCCACTCGAAACGTGGCGTTAATTGCCGGAACCCTCCGGAAAACCGGGGGCGCGAGAAGGAAAACACTTGAAAAACTTTTCACACTGCCAAAGCATAATTAAAAAAACCCCAAGTGAAGCACCGGGCTAAAAGACAGGCCAACTAAATATCCAGTCTTTTTAAGCAAACACTGGGCTTATCCCTGACTTTATTTAGCTAAAGCTAGTAAAGTAGTCTCCTAAAAGTTTTTAGTTTTAGTATTTTGTATCCATGATAACCTTTCTTTATTAAATTTAACAAATTCGTAGTTTAATTTACTTGTAATAACAAATAAATCTAACTTTTCATTTATCTGTGCATGAGATTATCTAAATTTTTTTAGTGTTACTTTTACATACAGTATATTTCATGTATTTATATATTACAGATACAATACAATTACAGCAATAAGAGAGATTTATTAACAATTTTGAGATATATTATATTTTGTACATTTTTTCATAGAAAGTAATTAATTGTTTAAATAAAAAATGTAAAACCACTATTTATTTATCATTGGTATATATACACCGTGGTATTTTTAAAAATGTTCCCGAAAACATGTTTACTTTTCTTACCTTATTAATTCTATACTTTTTAATGTCGCCAACAATTTCTGTTGATGCTGGTTTCTCTTCTTAATTTCTGCTGTTATTCCCTAATTAAAGCGCTTCCTCAACTTACATTACAGAAAAAGTAATGAAGAAAACTTTTTCGAAAAAAGGCTCGGGGCAGAATGTCCTTTCTGAAGTGAATTGTGCCTCCTGCCTTTATACTCATCTCAAGTTTAATATGCCAGCAAAAGAGGCTGTGATTCGGTACAGGAACTACGTCAAAGGAAAGCCCCAGCGACATAATGAAATGCTATTTTCTTGAAGGAATTTTGTATCTGCTTCTCTTTGACAACTGTCCATCTGTCCATCAGCTGTGGCTCTTGCAAGGTTATTTTCAACCATGTCAAGTAATTGAGAGCCTGACAAGATGACTTTAAGCCATCCAGCTGGCCAAGTTAAACCGCAAGGAGAACCCAAAGGGTCGACTCGAGGTGGGCCTGTCGATCTGCATAATGAAATTGCGGCATTATCTTGTACAGTTACAGGCCATCCAAATGGCAGTCGGTAGTCGGTCGGTGAAAGAACTCGACTCCAGTGGAAAGCCAAGCGGATGCAGATGATGACGATGCTGCAGGGCAAAAGTAGAACCTGAGAAAATGATAGCCGATGTGACGCGGCATCTGCGATTGACTTGCTGACTTACTGACAGAATAACAGCCTGACTGGATGACTAAATGACTGACTGTCTGAATGACTAAATGACTGAATGACTGAATGACTGACTGACTGACTGACTGGCGGCCTGGCTGGATGAATAATTGCGAAACTGCAGCTGAGCCCGCCAGCTCTCTTATGCAAATCAGCCCGACCATGGCCGTGGTCTAGTCGAGTCATTTTCGCCAGCAATTTGCCAGTAATTTTCACACATTTGGCCAACAGCTGCTTTCACATTTGCCCAGTGGAGCCACTCCATATCCAGAGGGGGCTTTTTGGAGGAAATAGTAGGAAGCGGGACCGGGACCTCCCCCAAAACAATTACGTCAGTTTAGGCATGACTCCTAATTAACTGGGCGTTGTCAGGGCTCTTTGGAGGTGCTCTTTGAAAGCATTCCGGCTCTAATTAATTTTAATTAAAACTCCTAACCAAAATTGACCAAGGTGTACAACACAGCACAAAGGGAGACTAAACGGTAATAGGGATTAGTTAAAAAGGATTCGTAATGCTTAAACAACAAAAAATACGGATCATATCTATCCACAAAAAGATTAAATCTCAAAATAAATTATTTTAAAAATTCAAAAGGCTTTGCAGAGAATTAAAATAAAATCCTTTAAAGTAGTAATAAAAAATTATGCAACAAAAATATAAAATAAATATAAATAAATGAATCTAACAACATGCAAAGCAAAATAAAATGGTTTTCATGGAGTTCTAAACTCACAACAAAAGCTCACAATAAAGCCATACAAAAAGAAAACATCGTGAGAAAAAGACATATTTCCGCTTAGACAGAATCGTTGATAAAATTGTTGATTACACCTTAATATTTTTATGAGTTCTGTAAATGACATAAGAAAAACAGATTCGTGAAGCGGCGCCTAAATATCGTAATCAGTATTTACGACTTTCCCTGGCAGACGAAGCAAATGACCCCACTCTTGCCAAAGGAAAACCTTTTCTTTATTGCATTTTTATGGCTGCCTGATTTTATTTTTAGTGCAAATGTGGCTATTGTTTCATTTGCCAACAAAAGAACAGACCCACTGACTCATGTTCGTGCCCATGTTCATGTTCACAATGTTCGGGTCTGGGGGCCTGTAATTAATCATAAAAATTGTTTGCACCTTGCCGTGGACAAACCGCAGACCAGAGTCGTTTTTCGACGAGGTCTGGTCACGTATGGCATTACGCACTTCCGTTTCTGCCCTGTGTCTCCCTTTGGATGGAGTTCGGCGATTCAGTTTGCTCACCCGCGCGCACAAGAACAAAAAGATCAAAAAATCAAAAACTTTTTATTGCATTTTGCTTGCCGACTGTCTCGCTTCCGTTTTTATATATTTTGCACGCGCAAAATTTATTTTGTGATTTATGGGCGCAAAAGCCAACAACAAACACGCGGAGGGCGACAAACTCGCATTTGCAGACTTGTCGACGCGACTTTCTGGCCACAGACATCCCGAAGCCCACATTTAAATCTAAATGGCGGTCCAAATCAAGAATCCAAGATAGCCTTGGATTTGCTGGGAAATTATTGGCTTGGGCAATATCTTTTTATTTTTTAAATAAAATTGAAACAACGAATAATTAGATCAGGATTAATAAATACAAAATTTAAATCGAACTGTTAGAAATTTATTTATAACGAAAAAAAAGTCTTACCTACTTACAAAAACTTACTTTATGTTTGCATATTAATATGTATTTTAAGTTGAATGGGATAAATAAAATTATATGTTATATACAAAAGTCAAGAAGGGACGTATTTAATTTAAGTTTGCTTTTTGTTGCTACGAGCTTTCCTTTAAAACAAAATATATTAATTTAAAAATCCTTTCTCATGCACATTCATATAGACCACATATACATTGTATTTAATAACTCAATTAAACACAATTTGTCTGCAATCACGTCCGATCAGAAGTGGTCAAAACGGCGAAAAGCCACCAGCCGCTTTCTGGCCAACACATTTCCCAACCTCTGTGGCTATAAAGCTCGTGGCCCATTTTTATTTTATAAAGCCTCTTGACGGTAATTGCTGTTTGGTGCTGTTTGTGAATATTTTATACAATCGGTTTATTCTTTTTTAAATGGCCTGCATTATTTAAGACGCCACTGTCAACAAGCTGTCGACTGTCAAATGCAAAAACGTTGAGCCCCTGAGTTTTCCGCCAGCGAATCATTTACCACTGCATTTTTTTCGACCTCGGACTGTGCATTGATTTTCTGCTTCATTTTTGATGGCCTGGTGTGACATAAATAATATAAACAACACACCATATTTGTTTTAATTTTTTTTAGTTCCAATTTGACCCTTGGGTTTTTTTTTGGCTTTGGTTTTTGGTCGACCCTTGATGGGTTAGTAATTATGCACAGTATGTAGTAGGTTTTATGATAATGACAGACCTTCTGCGACTCCCCAACCAATTATGTGGAGGTGTTAGCCCGTCAAGCGACATATATACTGAAACGAACACTTCAAATCCAAATCCAAATCAAGGTCTAGTAAAAAAAATCCACAGAGGCAAAGCCAAATCGCAGGGGCAAACAATAAAGTGTGTGTTTGTTCAGTCAGCAAGTGACATGCAATTATTTATACATTAGCGCTGGAGAGCGAGAGCGTAAGGTAAATATTTGCCACAAACTTTTGTCAAGCTGTACGTTGCGTATACGGCAAACAATTTGAAATACATTATCTGCTGGCGCCGAAGAAAGAGTTTTGCTGGGAGAGTGCGGGGGAAAAGCAATTATCGAATGGGCCAAAGACATTCACAAGGCTTAATGGCATCTAACGGAAGCTGAATTTATTTGGATTTTCAAACCTAAAATCCAGGAACTGAGGGGCACGTCTTTGCTCAATAATTTATCTGGGCAAAGGCAAGGACTCGCTTTAATGTGGCCTGGTAAAATATACAAGTCCTTAACCGCCTGCGGCAGTCACTCCTTCAATCGCTCACTCAGTCAGTCAGTCAATCGGAAGGCCAAAACAATCGACAAACCGTCGACAGGCGGTCTCAAAGATAAGGAAATCAGGAAGTTTTCCATCCCTTTGGCGAAAACTCTTCTGTCTACTTGTTGCTGGTAAACGTTTTCCACTTGTTCACATGTGTGGCACTGTGGCACGGCACCAAATGCCTCGAGGTGGTTGGCAAAAAATTTATGGAAACCAGAAAAACCTCAGCTTCAGTGGTTCACGTTCGGCTGATTTTTGGGAAACATTTGAATGGGGCCATAAAATCACTTAAGTGTGTTTTGCCGTACACGTTCCGTTGCGCCCATTTCAATATTTTTTGTGGCATATTTACGGGCGTTGACGCACAAGATTTAAGGATCCAAGGACCGCAGAGTGTGCAACACGGCCCGAATGGTAACCAAAAACCCATCAGATCCGACACGTTGCATATTTTCTGGGAAAAAGGGCAAGGGAAAATCGTTATACTCAGCATATGTGTAGGCGCTTCGACTTTTCCGAAGGGAATTCCGTTCGCCTGCGAAACAACCATATTAAATTTGCTATAAATTAAGATTGATACCGATGCGTCCCTGGGGCCCCTTAGTGTGTATATATATATATTCTGGGGTTGAGCAACCCGTTTTCATCTTTCCACTTACCTCCACTTCTTGGAAGCCTTTCCCGTCGTATCATTAACTGCAAAGAGAAAGGATGAAAATGATTATTAGCTGAAGTAATCTCTTAAGCTATGGATTTGAATAACGATGTGGTTGTGGGTAGTAGTAACTAAATGAAAAATGATTCTGACTGGAAAAACCCTCAGCCACTTGTCTAAGAATGAAAATCCTTTGTGGTTCACTGAGTCCATCACAGTCTGCCAACCACAGAGCATTTTCAACATGAATCAAGGATGCATAGCTAACTTGAGACGAGCATTTGATTTTCAAGGTTGGAAATGTAAAGAAAAACAAAGGGCTAGGCAAAATAGAGTATAGGCTAAAAAATACTATATAAGGTGTTGCTAAAAAAAATCTAGTTGATACAATTTAAGAAATATTTTAAGGTCTTAAATTAAAAGACTTAATAATTTTCTCTTGCATATTCATGGGCCAACTTTTTCTTTGAATGCCTGCCAACTGTCCGAAAAATATTTTAATTTACAGCGAAAACTTTTTCCTCCGCCGCTTTTCTAGGCTGTCATTTAATCCAATATCGGTGCCGATAATTTAGCCATTGCAGTTACAGCTAATTCACTTAATTTCGCACTCGAAAGTGGCCGGTGAAAATAAAACAACATCGAAATCGTTTTTCGCTTTTTCCGCTGTGTTTATCGCCAACTGGCAACGAGTCGTGCAGTTCAGGGCCTGGGCCATCGCCATCCAATGGCTTTTTAATTGACAGGCCTGCGAGCGTGGAAGGGATCCAGAAAAAAGGGGGAACCCAATATTAAAAACAACTTGAACACGGCCAGGAAAAAAAGGTCAAGCCAGGTAGGCTAACTGAAAAGCCATCGGACAGCTGCGTTGCATCGGCTTTATTTTTTTTTTTTTGGCCGTTACTGGGGATCTGCGATTTGGGACTGGGCCTCGGCAGCTGGGAATTCACTCAGTCGTGGGGAATTCGACTTGATTAAAGATTTCACACTTGATTAGGCACTGGGGCCAGCATTGTTGTAGCAGATCCAATTGCCAGTTTCAAGTTCGCTGCGGCCATTGCAGATGCTTTTTCTTTACTTTTTCCCCATTTCCCAACTGTGTGAGCCGAATTTTGTTTATTTTCGTGCTTTAAATACACAACTGTAATGGTTCAAGGTAAATTGGTGGATAAAAACGCGCAGAACAATGGCCATTTAACAATCGCTTATGTACTTACGCTTGTTGGCACAGAATTTCGTTTTTTAATTGAAATATTTAAAATTATTTATTTAACAAACACACTAATAAATAAACATTAATTGTTTGGCTGGTATGTATTTCAAATAAAGAATACACATAATTTATATTTCAAATTGAAATTCAGCACTCACTTTTATAATTAAATAATTTGCTTACTTTTTTTTGCTCAAAACACTTTAAATGGATAGTGCGTTAATATTTAAATGAGTTGTTTAAACATCAACCTTTAACATTTAAATCATTGATTCTATACTGTTCTGTATAAAAACCCAGAATTGTTTGATTGAAAATAAACACTGTTTTATTTACAACACTTTTGCTTCCACTAGTAAAATTATTGAATTACATCTCAAAATTCAAGTGGGAAAACCTTTTGGCAAATAAATTTATTTGTCTTTGAGTTATTTACAAGAGATTGTGTTAAAATAAAATAATACAATAATATTTTCCCAGCTGCATCTATTTTCCCCAAAACTTATCCTCTACAAGAAGATAAATAAAATAAAGTATTTTTTTTCTAAAGCTGCCCCAATCCATTTCTTTATTTATCTCTATCAATCTCGATGCCCCGGCAACCAAAAAAAGACAGCCTGGACAATGCCACACAAAAACTCTCTTCAAATATTTTATTTTATTCATAACAATAGCAATTTGAATAAACCAGCCCCCTGGCTATTTATCTGCCCGGTTTAAAGCCAAAGCAATGAAGGCAAAATGATGACCACAAAGCAGAAAGCCAAAGCAACTACAATTAAAATGGGAAAATAAAACTGGGAATCGTGATTCGAGGCAGGCCATAACTGGGTCAAATCTCAGATGAGGGCGGACCCAGTGATTTTAATAGAAATCGTTCACTAAACTGAGGGTGAGGCTTCGGCATTTTTTTGCCCGAGATCTTTTATGATGAAAATAGAAATATGTCGGAAAATTTCCTTTCCCACGGCTTCATGCACGCAGTATTGCTGGTTTAAGAGTAAAGTTTTAATCAGGGTGGTAGAACTTCATTAATTTGCCGCCAACTTTTCCGAAGCACTTGACTAGGCTTCAAATAAATGCCATTACAGCGGGTTGCAATCGAAAAAGAACGTGCAAGTCGTGCTGGCTGGCCCATGGAAAGCCAACGAGGCGGTTGCATAAATAAATAATAAAACAAAAAACTGAAAACTGAAATAATAAAAGTAACCCAAGCTGCGAGCAGCCGTTGCACATTTTATGCAAATATCGGCCAGCCGAAGAAAAAACTTTCGTTCAACCTAAGCGTTAATAGGAAAGTGAGGGGTTCTCACAGAAAAGAGGGTGTTTCGTGAGGGATTCAGCCTGGGCCACCACATGACCGCACATTGCTCGACTGGTAGTCCTCGGATCCGGTGCCTCCTCTTCCTCCGAGCTCCTTGACTTGCCCTCTGGCCAATGCATATGCATATGCACTAGGAAAAATAAAATATTCTTCTACATGATTCCAGCACTTTCACTTAAAATTTCTCAATAAAATATATTCAGTTTTTAAAGTATTTCTTAACTATGGCTCAGTAGTATTGTCCTTCACATCTGAATAAAAATTAAATCAAAATTAATTCCAATACAACTGTGATAAAAACTATCTAAGAATACAAATTTAAAATAAATTACATGTTATAGTGAGACTATTTTTAATCATTAAAGATATTGTGTTTAATGAAATGTAACTAACAACCAAACTTTTTACTTTTCTCATATTAATAAAAAACTGAAAGTGGCTTTGTTTACCATAACTAATTATGAAAATTTCGCAAACTGGATTGCGGGACATAAAAAAAGAAAACAGACCTGAACATCTTTAATTTGGCAGTAATATAACTAACTTTAACTAAGCATTTTATTTTAAATTTCGCAACTTTCTTAATTTTTTTATTATCATAATTTCAATATTATTGGTCTGAGTGTATTCATGCTTTTTATGTTTATATGTAATGTTCCCCGACTAACAATGAAACTGTTATGAGTCCAGGGGTGCAATGCATAAGCTTGTATTATTTTCATTCTTCCTCGCGCTCGTCGCTTTTCCAGACTTTACGACACGTGAATGTGTAGGGTCTTGTATCTGTGGTCGAGCGTTTTGCGGTTTTTATGCCAAAGCCCAGCATCTGAAATTGATTTTTCATATTTAATGCCAGAGTATTACGAGCTAGAAGCGCAAAATGCAAGGAAAAACAGCAGCAGAATGGTAAATGTTTCAGTTGCAATTTCCATTATTGTGGCAGGAAAAACCAAATTAAATTCAGTTCTGCTGAAAATAAAATAAAATCTCAACTCTCTGACAGCCTTAAAAGTTTTTTTTAAAAAATAAATAAATAGTATAAATAAAAAAGAAGGGATTTGTTAACCAAAGTTTATTAAGTTATTCCCGTCTAATAATAAAGAGAAATTAAATTTAGTTCCATTTATAGTGAAATTAAAATGAAATCTCAATTTAAGACCTACTGACGCAAATCGCAAGGGGAAACAGCAGCAGAATGCAAATAGTTTAATTTTACTTTTTCACTACAGAAGTTTTAGTTCTAGTGAAATTAAATTTAATTTTCAACTTTCTGACACCCTGAAACGAGTTAGCTTTTAAAACAAATCGTTTTTCCAGGAATAAAATAAATTGAAGGTAAAATGAAACTTTTCTTGGCTTGGTTTTGGTTATGGCTTTATATAAAAATGTAATTTATGTTTTTCAGAAATTGTGATAAGAAGAAATCTATTAATAACAATTTTTTTTAAGAACCTTTAGGAAAACTACTCATCTCATAATAGAGCCAAGTCCCAGCTCCTTTGTCGAGCAATATCCCATGGCCTCCCGCGATATGTCAGTATTTGATTTCCATATTGACTGCAGGGAGAGTAATAACAACATTGGATATACTGTGGCAGACAACACAAACTCGCAAATGGAAACCAAATAAACAATATGTAGATGCAACAATACAGTCGTCGACTGGGGCACAAATGTAGATGTATCTGGCAGATACAATTGCTCGCTCGGCGATGCTGCGATCAACGGATATTGAAGTAGTTTTTTGTCGGTGCCGCTTATGCAAATTGTTTGGCGAATATACAACTAACTCGTCTCGCTTTTAATGCATTTATTCGGTAGGAGGGGGAGTAGTAGGGGATCCAGCAGTCATGACAACGAATATATATGACTCCGGGGCGATTATTCCGATGTGCTTGACCGAAAGCGTAACGCGCACGCTTTCGTCCCCAAACTAAAACTCAACGGCAAACAAGGGGGTGACGAACGAAACTCACGGGTGCAATGTTCGATGAGAGTTAGTCAAGCAGTCAATCAAACATCAAGCAAAAGTCGGTTTCAGTCGCGGCAAAAAGCCGCAGACATTGGTTTTTCATTGCCAACTCATAGCCATCATCGTCATCGTCATCGTCATCATCATCAGCATCCCAGTTGCATTCGCACTTGGCTGAAGAGCAGCGTCTTTGATGTTCGGCTGTCATTCCATACGGCTTCCATCACAGTCAAGAACAGGCCAACAACTAACTGCCTGCTAGTCCCAAGTCCTCTGCAAACCTCAAAAACCAATTCTATGCTTTGATTATCGCGCAATCCGAGGGCTTACCCAGAAGTTGTATTTTAGATTGCCATATTGATTTGTTGCCACTAATGGCAGTTCTATAAATTTTAGCTTTCACACTTTTTGCAGGAATAAATCAATTCTGCATTTCGACTTTTAATTAAAATTTTAATTTTATAATAATAAAATTCAAAATACCTATAAAAAAGTCTTTTTGCATTTCCTTTTATTTCATTATGTTTCTTAC